TACACCTTCCTCCCCTCGATCATAATAACACTCATTTCCTGATAGTAAATAAGTAATCAGAACAGGGGAGTCAGCATCCTGCAAATGTGATCTTTGCCTCTAAGCTGGATAGTTCTGTCTTTGGGAATTTAATCTTGTCCCTGTCTCATACATCTTCCAGGCCATTATTATTTGGAATGGTCTCAGATGGACTTTGGTGCTCTCAATGCTTGGCAATAAGGATCTTCCTGGGATCCATCTGTGACATCCATAGAGGAGTTGATCAGCATTAAAGTCACAGGTTAAATAGGGGGAAGGTGAAAGAGTACAACTCTAAGGATTAGACTGTCACATGTTATAAAAAGGAAATGCCATATCATTAGTTTTTTTTCTGCTTTGTTTTTTGGGCCACACCTGGCAGTGCTCAGGGCTTACTCCTGGCTTTGTGCTCAGAGATTACTTCTGGTGGGCTGGGGGGACCATATACGGTGCTAGAGATAAAACCTGAGTTAGCTGCATGCAAAGCAAGTGCCCTGCCCACTATACCATCTCTTCAACCTGGTTAATTTTATACATAGATGAGGAAGTATAGAACGTTCAAAAGTTGTGGTAGTGCCTAACCAAGATAAATAAGCAGAATAAAAAAATGTAGGCCAGAGCATTATACATATATAAAATTTTATTATATATAAATTTATTATGTGTGTATACACATATAAATATATATATTTTTGTTACACCCAGCAGCTGTGCCCAAGGCTCACTTCTGGCTCTGTTTAGGGGTCACTCCTGGAGGTATTCAGGGAACTACTATGGGCTGAGGGCTAACTGAATTGGCTGCCAACCTACCTCTTGTACTCCCTCTCCAGTCCCCAGGGCATGTTTGAGTGTCTTTCCTAGAAAGGAAAGTCCCTTAAACTTGTCTCTATCCCTACTTATCCAATTTGGTTGAACAGTCCTCTTCATCCTCTTCTCCTCTTTTCTTATTCAAGGACCTAGATTATAAGGCAAATTTAAACATTTTTATTGAAGACAGTGAACTATAAAAAGCTGACTTTACTTTGAAGAGTTAGTTAAAGGGTATTTAGTTAATCTGCTTTTAACATTAAGATTTAAGGACACACTATATTGGAGCTGGAGAGATAGTATGGTGATTGATTGCCTTGATTGTTTTGTATATGGCTGACCTTGGTTTGATCCCCAGTACCACATATGAACCCTTCTGGAGTGATCACTGGGCACAGAGCTAGGATTGATCACTGGGCACAGAGCTAGGAGTAATTCCTGAGCACAGCTGGTGTAACCCAAAAGCCAAAACAAAACATAACATAGAAGCTTTACTAAAATTTACATATGTTAAGCAAATACAAAGGAAAGGGCTAGAGGGATGGAAAGGAGATAAATAAATATATATATATGTAAAATTGGAATTGGGGAAGAGAAAGAAGTGTAAGAAAAATGAGAACGTGGCTCAGTGGTAGAGCACTTGTCTTGTATGTGGGTTTGATTCTTGACACTACATGATCCCCTGAGCACTACTTGGAACAATCCGAGCACTGAGTCAGGAGTAGCCCCCAATTGCCTCTGGGTGTGTCTCCCTCTCCCCTCACGGTCACGGTCATGGTCACGGTCACGGTCACGGTCCTCCCATTGTTCATCAATTTGCTCGAGCGGGCCCAGTAACATCTCCTTCGTGAGACTTGTTGTTACTGTGTTTGGCATATCGAATACATCACGGGTAGCTTGCCAGGCTCTGCCGTGTGCGCGAGATACTCTCAGTAGCTTGCTGGGCCCAGCTGCTCTGCTTTTGACACCCTCCAAGTGACCGAAAGGAGAAAGCAAAGCCGACGGATGGAGAGCAGGCAGAGGGAGCCCCGTCTTGAGCTGTGCCGGGGTGGTGGGGGTCCCCCGTGCGGGCGGTGGGGGTCCCCCGTGCGGGAGCCCGGGACGTGGGGCTTGGGTAACTGGCAGGCTTCAGGGAGGAGCGGGATTTGGCTCAGATCAGGTCGTTGTCATGTCTGGACCCTCGGCTGTCCAGGCGGGGGTTGCCATCCCTCTCCCCTAAAAAATATAAAAAGAGAAAGAGCAGGTTTAGAAGGACACAATTTGAAGAACGGAGTATGGGTGAGTTAAGGAAAGGACAATAGCAGACAGGGAAGTATTAAGAGTGGGGCTTTGCCAGTGATCTGAATTCAAATCTACAAAAACTCCCACAACAAATATCACAGTGATGAACTATTGAAGGGATCCCCTTAAGATCAGGAATGAGCTAGGATGGGTACTGTACTTATGCACCCAACCTTCTTTGGGAGGTCAGTGAGAGAAAAACATAGGGAAGGAAGGGGAGAAATAAAACTTATTGGTCACAGAAGGCATGGTCTGTGTGCAAAGACAGTTTTTTGGTTTGTTTTTTGTTTTTTGCAAGGACAATCTTAAAGTGATTTTTAACAACATCTCTGGATACAAGGTCAATCTATGAAATCAGTTGGTATTTCCATATGTGAACTCTAATAAAGAGAATTGCAGGTTGAAAAAATTACGTTTTCAACAACATAAAAATTTTTCCAATGCCTTTTTGAGCCTCATTCTTCTCAAGTGAAAATTAGAGATACAACAATAGCATAAATAATAATAGCAGCCCTAGCAGCAACAGACATTGTTCTAAATGTTTACATGAATTATTTCCTCCAACCTTCACAGCTTGTATTTGTTTTTTGGATTAAGTGAGGAAGTATATGTAAAAACATTAAAAAGTGCCTTTAAAGTTCTCAATACATTTTAGCAATATAAAAAAAGATGATTATTTTAGAGTCAGTCAGACTCACTTGTAAGTAGAAGAACTAAACAGCTATTCATTTGGCTTAATATCTGTACAATAGTCACCCAGTGCTTAAATTTTAATTTTACATATGTCATTTTATTTTACATATTTTATTAATATTATTTTTTTTAATGGAGGGCACACTCTGCATTGCTCAGGGATCACTCCTGGTGGTGCTTGGGAGATCATATGTGGTGCTGGGAATTCAACTCTGGTTGGTATATGAAAGGCCTTACCCTTGTACTGTATCTCCGGACCCCACATTGTTTTGATTTTTTAAAAAAAACTCACGAATTTATTTATTCAGTCAGGCTACATGCTGTGTCTAGGGATATAGTAGATAACCAAACAGACAAAATCCATACCCTAATGGGGTTTGTAACTTTGTAGAGAAAGCAAACATTAATCAACTACTCTCAGAGATTGTGCTATGAGAATAAAGTACAAGGAATTAAGAAGGTATAATGGGAGACATGGAGGTCTAGAGGGAAAAAATCACCAGTAAATGAAGTTCAGGAGATCATAAAGAATGCACAGAAGTAAGTCTCTATGTGGAGGCAGCAAATACACCGAAGGGGAGAACTTGACCTGTTTCGAAAACAGAAGAAAGGTGTGTGGCCGGGGCTCTGAGGACGGGAAGAGGGTGGCTTTAAGGCCATCAGGTTTGGGGAGATTTGTGAAGCATTTCCTTAGTTATTATAAGGACAATTGTACGATTTGATGTGGCCGACTCGGGTTTGACCCCCTGCATCCCATATGGTCCCCTAGCAGGAGTAATTCCTCAGTACAAAGCCAGGTGTGGCCCCCAAACAAACAGAAGATGATACAGATTTATAAATATTTACTCCTGTCTCACCTTTGACTCTCAATGGTGACAACCTGTTACATTCTTTTAATTTGTTTTAAAGACAGGGTTATCAAAGATATAAATTCTTAAAAGTTACTTGTAGTGCCTGTCTCCTCTCCATAGTCTCCCCTCCTTTATATCTGTCTCTCCAATATGAAAAGTTGGATGGATTCAGGGCAGAAAGCGGTGTTGCCTTCAACTTCTTAGCCACCTTTTAAGTCCTTTCTTCTGCCGCCAAGCAGTTAGATGCGAGAAAAAGATCCTTTCCCTCTTCCCCATCCTTTTTTGGATGTCCTCATGATTACCATGGGGTGGTGGTATTCCCACATCAGGTCCCGGTGCTCCCACACTTGACTGTGGTGCTTCCCGCATGTTTCAGTCCTTTCATCGTGGAGCTCCAGCTAGAAATCACTTAGAGTGCTGGGAACTCAGATCATGCTCTGCACATGCAGGTGGCACCAGAAATCCAATTCATGCCTCACACTTCCGTGACATGTTTGAATCACTGAAATGTCTCCCAGCCCCAGAAAAGGATTCTTGTGGTTGGGTCATTATTGCCTCCTCCAGTGACTGTCCAGACAGGGGGACATCTAAGATTTGACTGTTCTTGATGCTTTCTGCTGGTTTAGGATGTCCTTGTGTAGTAGGACTAGGAAAGACCTTCACAGCTCTTGATTTAAATCTTCCTCTCTTGCTGCTGGGGGCTGACATGGGTCTTCACAGGCCTTTGAGAAGCTCCTGGGCCTTGGTATTGACTCAAAGAAGGCCCGAGGCAGGTCAGAACTTTACCCTGCTGATCTCCCCCCATATTTTATTGGCACAGTCACTGCCAGTGGATCTTGGCTTGGTACTGGGGGCCTGGCGGTTCAGTGCTTACCAGAGCTTGGAGTGACTCCCAGAAGTGGTGGATGTTCATGCAGTGCTGGGAACTGAACTCACAGCCTCTACCACTCCCTGGCCTTCAACCCCAATATCTAATATGTCATAAACTAAGAACATGTGTGAAGGGGAAACATTAATAATGGCTTAGCCAAAAGAGGACATGAACTAGGAGAGCCAGTGTTTGGTACAGGGATGTGACTAGTGGCGGTGGTGACCCAGGTAGACTCTTCCACTTTCTCTGTTTCCTGCTCACACTTGCCCTCAGCCATGCCTGCCTCTCTGTCATAGCCGGTTAGCTTCCGTGATGGGGGGATGGGAACAAGATTTCCTGGGGCTGTCGATTTTTTCTGCGGCTCCTATTCCAGAGCCAAATGGAACATGGGAATTCTTCCTACTAGGCCAGTTCTCCCCTCTCCTCTGCCTTGCCGTGGCTCTGGCTAATGTGCCCTGCTCTTGCCTTTGCTCCAGCAGCACTCCACCTCAGTGAGCATCATGGGCTTTTCCAACACGCTGGAGATGGAGCTGTCATCCAACAGGCTTACGAGGACCTTAGAGCCACAGATCCAGAGTGTGAGCAGCCTGACAACCGGTGCCCCCCAGGCAGTACCAGGCCTGCTGGGTGGCCCCCCACCAACTGTGTCCAGCCTGGCGAGCAACCAAAGCCAGACCCTGCCCAGTCTGACAGCCAACCACCTGCAGACCGTGCCCAGCCTCATGCGTGGTGCTCCCCAGCACATGCCCAACCCCATGAATGAGTCCTCCCTGCCCATCCCAAGCCTGGCAAGTGATCGCTCTCAGGCTGGGCCTAACATGATGTCTGCTCCTGCTGAGTCTGGGGCGAGTCTGGCAGCTTGTACTCATCAAGGCTTGCCTCCACCTTCTGATACACAGTCAGAAACTGGATCCAGCTGCAGTTCGAGCTCTGGCCGATGTACTGGCAACCTGTGCCCTCTGGATGGGGCTGACCCCTCCCTGGGGACTGCGCTGTGTAAGGTAAGTCCTGGGAATCCTATTCACCGTCCTCTCTTCATCACTGATGCCTAGCCTGGCCTTGGTTTAATAGCTCTGTGAATCACGTGACAAAGTGTCTGATTTATTTGATTCTTGTTGACCTTTTAAAAGATTGAAAGTGAGGATTCCACCCGCTTCACTGACTCTCTGGGACAAGGCCTCGTGGCCCCTGGTCTGGATGCCTCCAAAGACTTGATTATTCCCTCAGAGCCAGAGGAGCCAATTAATCTCTCTGTGAAAAAATCTCCACTGGTTCCAGTGGTCAGCACATCCATGGCTTTGCAACAGTTCCAGAACCCAAAAGGTAAGACTTGAGTCAGTGGCCTGCCTTTCACACTGGCCCTCAGCAGAGATTCCCTGCGCTTCCATTGAGACAGAGGCCACACATAGGCTCTAATTCCAAGCAGCTCAGTTTCAATTTCTCTCATCTCGGTTTCTCCTCCTCTCCAGAGCTGATCTATTGACACCAGTCATGCTTCCCTCACTATGGGTATGACTGAACCAGGCATGACCAGGGCCTGACCTCTGACATTCCCATGTACAGATATGTGGATTATAGGTAGGGGGAAACAGGAAGAACTCCGTCTAGGAGAGTGAACCTTGGCAAAATATTTTAGGGAAAACAGCATTCTTGACTGTGAAGTAGTTAGTTCTAGTAAGCCAACTCTTTTTGTGTATGCTTCTGGCAAGATCCCTAACCTTCCTGAGCTGAATTCTTTCTTTGTAAGTGGGGCTGGTCATCACTGCCTCCGAGACTACAGGGGTACCTAATTGCAGTGAAATTACTGGTGACTTACTCTCGCTTTGGGGATTCTCCTTGCACCTGGCAGGAACAGACATCTCTGTTGTGCCTATGGTAGGGGACGTTTGCTCCTTTGGAGATGGGCCCTGATCCTCTTCTCAGTGTCCACACTGATTCTCACTAGGACTAAGCGAGGGTTCCTCTCTTAGGAAGGTGAAGGTTAAGGTGAAGACATGCTGGAAGTTGAAGACTTGTTGGGAAACTAGAAAGCTGCTGAGTGTGTCTACGGAAACTTTTCAGTTCAGGATGTGATGTGTTTAGTTTGTAGTGATTGTGCTGTCCCCTCTATGGGCACACCATGGAGATTACAACACAGGTAGCAATTGGGGACATGTGTGTGACTGAATGTAAGAGGAGCAAATGGCTGCAGGTATAGGTGTCAAAGTGTGTGGCTCTACGTCTATGTCACAGGTATTTATCTTTTTCCTTAGAGTATGACAGTGTTGACCAAGGAACCCTGGAGCTGAATACCAAGGAGAACCAGAGAATCAGGTAACAGACTCCTGGTCTGCACCCCACCCCACTCTTGCTCCATGCCCTGGGTGGTTGGCACAGGAAGTAGCATCCCAGGTGACTGGACTCAAAGCAGAGATTTCACCTGACCTCCAGCTGGGTGTGTGTGGTTGGAGTCTGGGCTGACTGTGGAGGGAGATGCAGACCTGTGATCTGCTGCAGGGCATGTGCCCCTCCTCACCTGTCACTCTCTCTGTGTGTCAGGGATGCTCCGAGACCTGGGCTCTTGTTCTTTATAAACATTTTTTAAAGATTAAAAATTATTTTACACTTTTAAAATGAAGATGCTATGATTTACAAAGTTGATCATACTAAAGTTTTAGGTATGCGATATTCCAATACCAACCCCACCACCACTAGTGTCAACTTCCCTCTACCAATGTCCTCAGGTTTCCTCCCACCTCCAAGCTTGCCTCCTTGACAGGCACTTTTTCTTTTCCCTTTTTACACCGTGATTTACAAAGTTGTTTATAATGGAGTTGTTTAAGGCATACAGTGTTCCAACACGCATCACCAATATCCCCTTCCCACCTTCCATCAATTTTCCCCCAGCCTGTCCCCTTGACAGGCACATAACGAATTTATTTTATATTATTTGGTTCAATGAAACTTAAAAGGAATGGCAAACAGAATTATCAGAAAATAAATCAATAAGAGTTAATTTGTAATGATTAACTGCTATATATTTTAACCTTTCTTAATTTAGTAGAGGAAGACCATATGCACCTTTAGTGAGTGCCATACTCATACTGTCTTTTTTTTGTGGGGGAGGGTCATGCCCAGTGATGCTCAGGGGTTCCTCCTGGCTCTGTACTCAGTAATTACTCTTGCTGGTGCTCGGGGGATAGGATGCCGGGTATTGAACCAGTTTGGCCATGTGCAAGGCCCTACTCTGTACTATCACTCCGGCCCTCCTGTCCTTTTAAAGGAGCTCTTTTAATGCTTATTGTAAAACTGGTTTCTAGACTATGAATTGCCCAAGCTGTTAGCATGTCCATAAAGCTCTGTATAGCTCCTTCAAATCTGAATGATAATTTAGCGGTATAGAGTATTCCTGGTGAAGTATTCATTTTGTTGAGTTTTTTGTACTATATCCTTCCATATTCTTCTGGCTCTTAGAGTCTCATTTGATAGATCTGCTATACATATCCTGGGCTTTCCTTTGTATGTAAGTTCCTTTTTTGACCTTGCTGCTTTCAATATTATCTTTACCTTTGGATTTTGCCATTTTGAGTATAATGTGTCTTGACGTTTTTCTAATTGGTTATATTTTCACTGGGACTCTTTTGGCCTTTTGAATCTCGGTGCCTATAATCCTCAATTCTGGAAAGTTCTTATTGATGATTTCTTTAACTATTGTTTCTTTATAATATTTGCCTTCCTGTTCTTCAGGGACTCTGATGACTCTTTATTGTTCCTTTTGAGCTTTCCCATAATTCTCTAGTATGCTATCTATTTCTTTTCAGGCTATTTTCCACTTTCTGCTCTTTGCTAGTGGTTTCCTCCTCATCTTGGAGCTTCTTAATCTTTTGCTCAGCCTCTGTTATTCAGCTGTCGGAGCTTCTATTGACTTTTTAAATATCACCTAACATGTTCTTCATTTCTCTAATTTCTGACTGTAGTAGTTTTTTATTTCCAGTCTCATACTGTCTTTTCCTTTGCTGATTATCTGCACTGTCATTTCTTTGGACTCATTAAACACATTTCTTTGGACTTATTAAACATACTTAGCTTCACTGTATCACTGTCATCCTGTTGTTCATCGATTTCCTCGAGCAGGCACCAGTAACGTCTCCTTTGTCCTAGCCCTGAGATTTTAGAAAGTGCCACATTCGAGGCTCTTTCAGGATCAGGAGACTGAGACCCATCATTGTTACTGGTTTTTGGCATATTGAATATGCCACAGGGAGTTTTCCAGACTCTGCCATGCGGCCAGGATACTTTTGGTAGCCTGCCAGGTTCTCCAGAGTAAGAACTAGGTAATAAGATGTCCGGGAGCAGGGTTTTGTAGTCTCTGGGTCTTGGCCGTTGATGGGATTACACGACCCCGGAGCATTTGGTGGGTGTAATGCCTACATACTGGAAGATGGGGGATCTGGGTGGATGAGGCCCAGTCCTGATCCGAGCAGGCTTGGAGATCTAAGCCCTGGGTCCTGCACACCAGGGTTCCTCTGCCGGTTCATTCATGCGTGAGGCTCGTCCGAACATGTGGAGAGTGGTGGTCTTAAGCATGGCTGTGGCTGGAACCGGAGGTCTTCAGCTGCCGGGGCTCTGCTCAGGTCAGGGAGGGAAACTCAACCCGCCCTCCTCCAAGGGGCCCCAGTGAGGACAGCCAGGCGTGAAGGCAGGAAACTCTATGCTGTGTCACTAAAGACACTGAAGGTTTACTGGTGTTGTTAACATCTTCAGTGATTTTGTTTTTGCTTGGTGTGCTTGGTGTGCTTCTACATGTCTTCCCATTGGTTTTTTAGAGTTTTTGCTCTGTTGGGGGTGAGTCTTTGTAGTTAACCTCCACTGGAAGATGCTGAGGGATTAAGCTGGAAGTTACTTTTTGTTTTCTCTGCCTGATCTCACAGAATCACAGGAAGAATAACTGTGAATAGCATTTGTTGAGTAGATCTGTTGTGTGGCCACGGACTTCAGAAACTGTGGTGTGGGCACTTAAGTCAGATGTGGAAGTTGCTAGGACCCACCCTGTAGGGAAGGGCTCTGCCTGCCATTTGGAATAGGCCTGGTGATTATCAGCTGGAGGCCAGTCTCACCTCTGGTAGACGTTTCTCATGCTTAATTTCTCAAGTGCAAGGAGGTCACAAGAGAAAGAATTATTTATTTATTTATTTATTTATTTGTGTGTGTGTGTGGGAGGTCACTCAGCAATGCTCAGGGTCGAGCAGCAAGTCAGGCACATTTTTTAAAGTTTGGTATGGTATGGGTCTCCTGCTTAGAGTGTTGTTGGCTTTGTGTTTTAGATATACACTTTATACCACACCTCTGCACCACCTATGTGCTTTGAAACTTCAGAGTCATAGCAGCACTGTTTAAATTCTTTCTTCTTATGGGGCTGGAGTGATAGCACAATGAGTCTGGTGTTTGCCTTGCTTGCAACCAACCCAAGTTCAATCTCCAGCGGCATCCCATATGGTCCCCCAAGCACTGCCAGGATTAATTCCTGAGTGAAGATCCAGAAGTAACCCCTGAGCATTGCTGAGTGACCCCCCCAAAGAAAAAAATAACAACAAAAAATAAAATTCTTTCTCCTGTGACTTCCTGAGAAATGCAGCATGAGGAACCTCTACCAAAATCACCTTGGATTTAAGACTCACACCCACGGATTTGAATTAAGTTTTGGTCATGGCATGTTCAGAAGCCTTTACCATTGCCAAGTTTTTCTGTGACACTCTCCCTTACACCACCCCTCCACATTCAGTTATGCAACCCCAAATGGGGTCACAACTTAGTTTCAGAAACTCAGCCCTAAAGGGTTTCCCAGTAGCTGACAGTCCCTGGCCAGTTGGACTGGAGAGCAGAATATTGGGGTTTGTAGAGGATTGGCCTGCAGAACTCTTGAGCATTAATTCAGTTGTGGGGTCATGGGTGAGCCCATCTTGGCGGACAGGGTTGGTGCCACCCCAAACCCAGAAGCGTCTCTTTTGCCACAGTCCCTTCACCAGCGAGCCCAAGATCCCCTATGTGCGGCTGGAGAGACTCAAGATTTGCGCCACTTCTTCAGGGGAGATGCCTGTGTTCAAGCTGAAACCCCAGAAGAACGACCAGGATGGGAGCTTCCTGCTGATCATCGAGTGTGGCGCTAAGTCCTCCAGCATGTCCATTAAGGTACTGCCTTGCGCTGCTGTGACCAGGATCTGGGCCCAGCCTCGGCTGGTCTGTTTCTTGGCTGCTGTTGCAAGAACCCCAGCCCTCGCCCTGCTTCTCTGCACTAGGGCTGCAGCTCCCCAGGTTTGGCCCGCCTGCTGCAACCAGGAGTTTCTGAGAGGCACCTGGGCAGTGTCGCAACACTCAAGGGACCTAGCAGGCTTGGGGCTTGGGATAAGTGGGTGCCCTGGGCTTGTTGGGGTCCTCTGCCTCTGCCTCTCAGCGGCTTGTTGCACTGGGCTCTGACTCAGGCTTCATTCTCCAGGTCAGCCAGGATCACAGCTCAGATGCCATCCAGACCCCGAGCCTGGGGGGGAGAAAGGTCACTGTCACTTCTCTGCAGCGGCCCCCAGAGGTAGAGGGGGCAGCCTCGGAAGAACCAAGACCTCTTCCTCGCACCGCTGGAGCCAAGAAGGGACCCCCGGTACCAATAGAAAATGAAGACTTCTGTGCTGTGTGTCTCAACGGGGGAGAGTTGCTGTGCTGTGATCGCTGCCCTAAAGTGTATCACCTCTCCTGCCACTTGCCAGCCCTGCTCAGCTTCCCCGGGTGAGTGGGGCCAGCTCAAGGCCCTCCCCTGGTCAGCAGATGGGGCTGGGCACCGCCGTGGATTAGCTTCCCCCCTGCTCTGAGCATCAGACAGGGGCAGGCCTGTGACTCAGTGGTCCAGTCACCACCATGTGCCTTCTTGCCCGTGCACAGGTGGACATGTGAGGGCAGGATAATTTCCCCTCCTCCCGGTTCCTGGCTCCCTCCTGCAAGTTTCCTTTCGATCCTCCTGAGTCTCCTCCTCCTCCTCCTCCTCCTCCTCCTCCTCTTCCTCCCCTTCCTCCTCCTCCTCCTCCTCCTCCTTCTTCTTCTTCTTCTTCTTCTTCTTCTTCTTCTTCTTCTTCTTCTTCTTCTTCTTCTTTTCTTCTTCTTCTTCTTCTTCCTTCATCCTTCTTCCTTCCTCCTCCTCCTCCTCCTCCTCCTCCTCCTCCCCCCCCCTCCTCCTCCTCCTCCTCCCCCCCCTCCTCCCCCCTCCTCCTCCTCCTCCCCCCCCTCCTCCTCCTCCTCCTCCTCCTCCTCCTTCTTCTTCTTCTTCTTCTTCTCATCGCTGGATTTCTTTCAAGCTTGTGGCTCAGCGTCCTTCCTTATAGAGCAGAGAGAGGGACTCTGACTCCCAGGCCACTGTGCCCAGCCCTGTTCCCAGGGCAGCAGGGCAGGGGACTTTGAGCCAGGGCCGGAGGCCTCACTTGACCATGCCACCTGCCTCTGCAGGGGAGATTGGGTGTGCACCCTCTGCCGCAGTCTGACGCAGCCTGAAATGGAGTATGACTGTGAGAACGCACGCTACAGCCAGCCTGGGATGCGGGCCCTTCCGGGCCTGAGCGTGTTCGACCAGAAGGTACAGGGCTCCCTGGAGTGTAGCCCCTGCCCGGGGATGGGGGCGAGGTGGGGCCTGCCTGTGTTGTGACTAGGGACCGAGGCCTCGCTGGTCCGTGCCCAGCTGTGTGTTCTGTAGAGGCTGGCCCAGCTTTCCCTGCTGCCCCGTTTCCACACTGAGCCCGCCACTGGTCCCTCTGGGGCGCCCCTTTCTCACCGAGGGGCCTCCAGGACCCACGCTGTTGCCAATTCTGGTCCCTGCAGAAATGTGAGAAGCTGGTCCTGTCGCTGTGCTGCAACAGTCTCAGCCTGCCCTTCCACGAGCCTGTCAGCCCTCTGGTAAGGCAGGTTGCCACCCCCCATGCCGTGAACCCCACGCCCCCTGGGCCTCCCCCTCTGCACCCCGCTCCATGCCTGCCCCATCCTGTGCCCCCCCCTTTCCAAAGCCTCCATGAGACCCTGGCAGAGACCAGAGGTCCCAAAGTGGGTCAGGCACATGAGGGGCTCGGAACAGGGCTAGTGGAAGTATGGGAGGGCCCAAGAATTGGGGGGCCTTAGCTACCGTTGCCCCCTGCCCCTGGTCCCTGTAACAGATGCCCCATCTGGACTGCCTTGATGGGGGGGAACATCTCTCCAGTCCCTTTTCTCCTCCCCACACGACTTTTCTTGTTGTTGTCTTTTTCTTTATGCTCTTCCACTTTTCTACCTGGTTCTCTGCCTCTTCCTCTCCATCCCTCTGCGTTCTTCCTGCTTTTTTCTTCACTCTTCCTGCTTTTCCTCCTCCCCTCGACCCTTTCCCCGCCCCCCTTCCCCAGGCCCGGCATTATTACCAGATTATTAAGAGGCCCATGGACCTGTCGATCATTCGGAGGAAGCTGCAGAAGAAAGACCCAGCTCACTACACCACCCCGGAGGAGGTGGTGTCCGACGTGCGCCTCATGTTCTGGAACTGCGCTAAGTTCAACTATGTATGTCTGACCGTTTCCCGTTCCCTCATGTCCCAGTGATGCCAACACCTTCAGGGCGGGGTAGGAGTTGGCATGAGGACCTGGGAGCAGATCCTCTGGGGCCTTCTATAGTGAGTGTTTAAAGTTTCCTTTATATGTGAAACCCAGTGCTGGGCTCAGGAGGAAGGTAGGGGGCGCTAGTGATGGCCCATCCATGGTTACTTCATACAGTGTCTAGAGCTGAATCTAGCTGATTATCCTAAATCTTGAGAAAATGTCCCATTCTCCATGCCCCAGGCACCTAGCCAGGCTTTGTTCTCTTTGTAACACTCCGGCTGGGGGGTAAGGGGGGGTGGGGGGAGGGCTAGAGGGCCGGGGATCTGGGGAATCGGGCTCGCTCATCACACTTTTTTTCTATACACAGCCTGACTCGGAGGTGGCTGAGGCTGGCCGCTGCCTGGAAGTGTTCTTCGAGGGCTGGCTGAAAGATATCTACCCGGAGAAGCAGTTTGCCCAGCCCCAGCAGGAGGACTCGGACTCAGAGGAGGTGTCGAGTGAGAGTGCGTGCTCCACGCCCCAGGGCTTCCCGTGGCCCCCTTACATGCAGGAGGGCATCCAACCCAAGAGGCGGCGGCGACATATGGTAAAGAACTGCTGGCGGGTGAGTGGGTGGACCTGGGGCATCTGGACCGCAAGGGCACCGCAGCACAGAGTGGCCTGGGAGAGTGGTGAGGCCAGCATGCACTCCCACTTCCAACCTTGGGGTCTCGAGGAAGGTGGGCAGCAGTGGACACATCAACTCATTTACCCGAGCAGTGAGTAGGCCGGCCAGGGACCAGCGGGCCTGGTGCGAGGGGCAGGTCTCCCAACTCCCAGCTTCGCACTGGTTATTTACTCTGCACCAGGATGCCTCCAGGAAGCAAAGTACCCATTTTCAGGTCCTCCCTTAGGTTTGGGAGAAAGAAAGAGGTCAGGGTAGCAGAATAGAGGAGGAAGGAGTGAGTGTCTTGTCTAGTGACCTGTCCACATGTGGGGTGTCCCAAACAAATGACTAGTACAGAGACGTTCATTCAGAACCACCTTAGACCATTGGCCTGTGATGCCTGCCTCTGTGTGCCAGGCCTTACCAGTTTCCTCCTTAGGTTATGACACTTAGACCCCCTGTGCTGTGGCTTCAGTGAGTTTCACTGTTGTACCTGTGGGTAGAGCACCTTGTTTTGTTTTGGTTTTGGGGGCCACACCTGGCAGTTCTCAGAGCTTACTCTTGGCCCTGAGCTCAGGGATCACTCTTGGCGGGCCTCAGGGGACCATCTGGGGTGCTGGGAACCCAGGTTGGATAAGTGCCCTGTCCACTGTACTTATCTCTGTGCTCCAGAGTCACACCACTTTGACACCGGCATAGGGAACCACTCCAACCCTGCCCTCTTTTTTTTTTTTTCGGCAGGAGAATGAAAAAGCAAAAAGAATGTCCTTCCGCCCGACCAACAGCATCTCCCAGGTGTGAGAGCTGGAAGGACGCTGAGCTGCCCTGCCACCGGCACCCCGTCCTGTTGCCCGCTTCTCCCCACCTTTCAGCTCATTCTCTTGAGATTGTGGATGTGAGACAAGTCTTGTCGAGCTGTGTCGTGATCTTCTTTGCCGTTCACATCTTACAGCATTTATTTGGGAGCCTTCGTGCATCCACGACAGAGATTTCAGGAATAAACTGCCAAGAGAGAGGTGTTTCCGCTCCCGGCAGGGTCAGATGTGCAGGGTCTACTGGACAAGCCCCAGGCTGGCCGGTCTTGGGAGGAGCCATTTGCCTTGGTGAATTCTTCCTCCTGAGGAAAACACTTTTCTCACCTTTCAGTGTGCAGGGCACAGGAGGCATGTGTCTAGCCAGACTCCTCCTGGGCCAGAAGAGAGGGGAAAGAAGGGAGAGAGGTTCTGACATCGAGCAGGCCTGTTATCCCTGGCCCAGTGCAGCCAAAGACTGTCACTGTTTGCCTTTGCTTGGCCTGCGGGGCCCAGAGTCACCTGCCCTGGGCAGGGGAATGAAGGAGGCTTCTAGAGGCCGTGGGTCTCAACTGGTGCCTATTCGGGTTATAATGGTTTTCAGGGTATTTGCCTTTCCCACTTTTGCCACTGGGAAAGTATCGTGGACGCTGTGGGCTGGGCTGGGTGGCAGCACAGGCTGGATTACCCTTGCCCGCTGAAGAAGACGCGTGCTTCAGTGCCCACCCTCTGTGCCACTTACGATTTATTTTGGCTCTTAGGTCTTCTTTGGTGTGGGAACCGCCTTCCTAGAAGTGACTTCCAGTAGCCAGCCCTTCGCTAGCTCCATTCTGTGGCTCGGGTCCTGAGTTGGGTCAGGGAATCTGGGCAGCAGCTGCCCCCTGCTTTAGGCTCACCATTCCCTGGGGGTGAGGTGGGACTGGCCCCCTGCTTTAGGGACCCACGCGCTCACCCTCTCCATGCACACAGAGCCAAAGATCAGAGGGCAGCATCTTCCCACTCACCCGCAGCCAGGCTAAGAGAGCCTAGACTCCAGGGGGGCTTTCCTGTGTTGAGGATGGAGAAAGCAGAGGAGGGACAAGCTAGCTGGACCCACGTATCCATTCGCCAAGTTCTGCTAGGTTGGGCAAGGGACATTGGGAGGCAAGGAAGTGTTATACTTTGGTAGCCCTGATGCGCCTTCAGAATGTGGTTTCTAGAATGCAGAGAAGAGTGTTCTAGAAGTCATGGGAGCTGGGCTGCATCTCAGATGGATCTTCGTGGCTCTTGGAGGAGGCTTGGGAAGAAGAGGCTTGGCCAGATGCTGGGGGTCAGGCCCTCCCCAGCACAGGCTTGGCTGAGAGGGAGCCTGTTGGTGGTGGCCCTGGGGGAGCTTTGCCTCTGGCTTATTAGCCTCCTGGCCCCCAGACACAAGTCTGCCTTGTCCTGCCATGGCTCATCTAATTTTAAGAGCCTAAGGTCCTGGCCTCATTTGGGCTCAGAGATGCAGGTTAGGGATGTGGTTATTTATGCAGCTTTTGGGAAGGCGAGGATTTCGAGTGGGGAGAACTTTCTTCCTCTCCGTGTGAGTCGGTGGCCTTGCTTGTTTCCTTCTCCGCCTGATGCAGAGCACATTGTGCCTGTCCCATCGACTTGTCACGATTTCACCAGCACCTGCCAAGCTCCCCTCGGCAAACAGGCAGTCACTAAGTCCTTGCCAGGCTCAAGCAATCTTTGGAGTCAGTTCTCTTCTCTTTGGGGCTCATGGAACTTTATGGTTTGGGCTCTGTCCACAACTATTTCCAGTTTCGAATGGTTTTCTTTCATTAGTTGACTTGGCAAGGCTCCCTCTGTAATTACTTCACTAATTACAACTCTTGGTTCCTCTTTTTATTTTTTTATGCCCCCAGCCCCACCCCACCTTCTCAGAGTGAACTTCATGGTGCTTTGTGTGGGCAACCAGGAGAGGGAAGGGGTCACAGTCTCAGGCCCGACTTGGAGCCTTTCCAGGAGTATCTATTGGCCACAAACAAGCAGCAGAAATAAATGGTTAAAAATTGGGATTTCCTTCTACCCCTGAGGGAAATTCTTTTTATCCCTCCTGGTCCCAGGGCATCCTGCTGGGCGAGGAGACTGTAGTATCACCTACTCCCATTCCACCCAAGTCCCTGCATGCTGAGGGGCTTCCTTTAGAGAGTCCTGGGGGTGGGTGGGTGGGTAGCATCTTCACCTCCCAACACGTCCCTGGGGCACCTCTCTGTCCCTTCACAGGTTGTTCCACCTCACCTCCTTCTCCCTGGAATTCCCTGTGTACTCAATATCAATATTCTAGGTCTTGATTTTGTTTTGGGTTTGCATGCAAAAAAAAAACAGAATATGACTTTTTTTTTAAAAGATATATTCTTTAAAATGCCTACTAGCTACGTGATGGACTTGAGGGGCTGACGTTTTGAGCTGATCTTTCTTTGGATTTATTCCCGTATTGGTCCCACTTGAAGCGAGTCCAGTCTTTATGCCTTGGGATGGAGTCATGGGATGTGTTTCTGGATCCTCACGGTAGAGAATGCCATTCTAGAGAGAAAGCTGGACTTCGCGGGCATGCTGAACAACATGGTGGCATGGTTTCTATTGAGGCAAAGGGAGCGAGATGTGCAGAGAATGGGTATTCTAGCGGTTTCCACTATCACCCTTGAAGCGAGATGTGCAGAGAAAGGGCATTCTAGCAGTTTTCACCATCACCCCTGCCTGCCTGTGCAGGCAGCAGCTCCATGAGTGGTGGCACTATCAGACCGTCTACAGGCTCTGCTCCCCACCGGGCCCTGTCGTAAGTCTTGGCGACTCTGGCTTCTCCACCCATTTCTGGCCACAGGTGTTCACCATGCTCCACACATGTAGGTTCCTCCACGGTTGTGCCTGGATTCCTCTCACCTGCCACCCCTGCCCCCTCCCCCGCCCCAAGTCCTGTTTCCTCTCTGGGAAACCTGAACCGAGACTTGATTCCTTCAGGAGCTCCACCCCTGTCCTTCCCTGCTGGTTTTCTAAATTGCTGGGTTCCTCTTGTCCTCTTGCCCATTTCGCAACCTCAGTTCTCTCTCTCTCTGCTTGGGGGAACTCCTCCTGGACTGTTTCTTCTCCCCAGCTGAACACAAGATTCACCACCACAGGCATTTTAATCCCATCATCCCCTCTGAATTTTTATTGAAATCTCCTCCAACTTTTGTTGCATTTATTTTCATCTCCCTGCACCGCCCCCCCCCCCCCCATCAACCTTTTTTTCCTGTTCCTCCTCTCTGGGGTTCTCAGTATTGATTGGCATATCTTTGATTTCACCCTGTTTTCCATCCGTGCTCATCCTCTTTGCGCCCAGCAAATGTTGGACTCACTGCCTGCTTCGTAGAAGAAAGGCCCCAGAGCACACACTTCCTTACCCTCTTGCTCCTTTCCCTCTGCCCTCTCCCAGCACCCAGTTCCCCTTCAGCTCCCATTTCTTACTCTCCCCGATTCTTCAAGACTTTACTCCATCACTTATCCCACTGCTTCCACTTTCTCAAGTTTCCCTTATCCCCACGGGTTACTTTTGAACAACTAGTCTACACATAAGCAAAGGTGGTTTCCTCAAAATGAACCCCAAATTGCTTATTATCTGTCGCTCCTATCACTTTCCCCTTGTCAGCCCAAGTTTCTTTTTAAAAAATTTCCATTAATTCCTCTTAGGCACTCTTCAAACTTCAGTAGTTTAAAAAGCCACCAATGACCTTTCAGTTGCCAAATCAAATTAAAAAAAAAACCTTCTAGTTCTCAAATGTCTTGAACTTGCGACAGCATTTTTTTACTCTCTAACCGCTTTCTCTTTGAAACACCTGCCTTTGCTCTGTGGGTCTGAAAGACTGCAGTCTGTGGGTTTCCATCTTTCTCAGCCAGCCTTAAAGCTTACTCCATGGGGGAGATGTACCTGCACCAACTGTGGTCTCTGCCCCCCCGCCCCCCCAGGAATTGGTTGGCAGGGGAACATACAGATTCTCCTGCTCATTGCTCTCTGTGTCTGCCTGTTTATTTGAGTCTCTGTTCTTCAGGACTCAGTTCTCCTCATGCCAAGAATGTTTCTGAACAATGCTGGGGACCTTTGGGAGTCCTTTCCTCTGTGTCTCCAGTGTAGCACAGAGACAGATTTTTAGCAATTTTTGCATAAGAGGTCCCATCTGAATCAAGTCAAAAGTGAACCAAGAGCAGATTTGGCACACTGGATGGCCAGGCTGGTGGGCAACTCATCTCATGATTGCCATAGCTTCTGGAGCCTGCCACGGTTGGTCAGGAGCTTTGAATCATGGTAAAAATAAAAAAGCTTAGTTCCATGCTGCTAGCCATCTTGGGCACAGGCGTAGGTGTCTGTCACTGTGCTCATTCTGACGGTGGGTAACTGAGAAGCTGCGATTCTTCACTTGCTTCCCTCAGCCTGGTCCCTGACAGCTGGGTCTTTCCTATTGTCCTGTCATCACCACTTGTTTGCTCCAGTTGTTGCTAGAGCTGGGGGCAGATTCTTTTCTTGGAAGTTGGAGGTGTAGTAGGAAGATACAATATATGATTTGGGCTGTGGAACACACAGATTTTTGGGTCTGCCAATTAATGAGCTGTGTGACTTTGGGTACAGTTTTCCCATCTGTACAGTTGCTGGGGTGGGGGTGGGGGATGTATTCAAGACTGTGATATCTCAGCAATAGAGATGGAAAAGCTCTAAGACAAACAGAAAAGAAGGGTACTTTGGGTATAGGGCACAGTTGGGGTAATCTAGGCCAAGGAGGGACAAAGGGACTCACAGGCCAAACTCAGCTGCTTCAAGAAAAGTCTTTGGTTGCTGGTATTGCTCTGTGAACCATAAGCCCATTTCTCAAGTCCCACCCCTTCTTGGGTATCTAGGGTGAGTTCTTCTTGGGCCTTTTCTAGAAGTGGTCATTGGATCCAAAGTGGTTTGGGAGCATGAGGGAGGAACCGTGTTAGGGGAAGTGTCACTGATTTTAAAAGAACCTACACACTCAAGAATATATTAAAAAATAGTACTTTTCTTTACCAATAATTGTGTCTTGGAGTGTTTTTTTCCAATTGAGATCACTACACTTTTGTCATCTTTCTTTCAGACTCCAACATCATTAAGAACACAAGGTAAGGAAGAATTGTCTGGGGAACTCTCAAGGGAAGAATTCAACTGTCTAATTCTTAATGCATGAGTGGAACATTCTTCAAAATATAGGCAGCAAGTATGTCAGGTTTCTGGGAAAAGTGTCTTAGGAAACCCATCATCTCCAGGTTCTAAACACTTCAGGAATGTCCCAGGTATATGATCATCCCGAGTTACCTAGTCATAGCACTCCTCTCTGCCTAATGGTTTCTAGGCATTTGCAAGTCAAGGACATAGTAATGAATATTTCTCATTCATTTTTACTTGTAGAATCTGACTCTCTTTCCTATTTTGGCGATTTCTCCATCCCAGGAGTCTTAAGGATACACAACTCAACTCCTCACTCCCA